TAATAATATATAATATAATAATATATATATATATATATATATATATATATATATATATATAGTATATATATGTATATGTATATATGTATATATATCTCAAGTGTGATATCTTGTCTGCCCTTGCTCTAAAAATTATTTTATTAAATTTAATTTATAATTAAATTATAACATAAATAAAGGATTGTACATTTCCAATTGTAGCTGCACGTAAAAGATGTCGCAAAATTATAATTGCCTTTTGTACATACACATGTAACAACTTAACAATGATCTTTGTCATTTAAGAGTGTGCCACACGGTAACGAGTTTTCTTGGATTTTGAAGTACTGAAAACCAATGGAGTCTTTCCGTTGAACCTCTCACTCCTTTTCCAAGCGCTACTTTGCCGCAAAAGATATCCGCGGATTTTCTGAATGAGTTGACTGAATCTTCACTATCACTCGCATGATCAGTTGCATTAGTGGATGATCCTTCCAGTAAAACCTGAAATAGATAATAACAAAACTCTGCTTTATCATATTACAGTACTCGCAAAAGATATTTTTATCTTATATAAAATAACTTTTTATAGAAAATTATAGTCTCTAAAAAAATATTATTTGTAAACACTATAATATGACAAAACAATATAATTTTATATTGTATAACATTTTTTTATTATATTGTATTTTTTTACATTAATTTTTATATGAACGCTTCAGAGGTTAACTGTTAAGTCACAAACATAATTTTTTAGGAGAAGGATCTAAAGAGATTTTTGGCTTTTGATATTCTCTCAGTCAAATACTCATAATGATTTGCATATTTTTTTTGTATTCACAGATATCAAACTTCGATATGTTTTAGAAAATAGAGTTGTGTGATTACGGAATATGATTTTAATGTGATTTAACACTGTTTACCTGGTGATTGTGACTTAACTTTATACAGTCAAAATTTGCCATTGGGTTAAAATTGGTGTATAGAATTTTGTAATAACAATAACTCAATTTTCGAAAAAATGTGATTAAACACAGTTTACCTCTGAGGCACTATTATATAAATAATTTTTACAAAAATTTTATATTTTATATTACAGAATATAAGTATTTTTTATTTTAATTACAATACACTTAAATTTTTCCGAAACTATGATAAATAACAAGTTGTATCTTTCTTTAAGATCACGTGATTTCAAGAGAAACAACTTTTATAAAATAGTTTTATTCTTAGATGCAAAGAATAAAATTATATAAAGGTTTATTTATCTTCATCTTTTAATTTAAATTAAATCATAATTATCAAATACAATATAATAGAAGAGCATTAAGAACAGTCGCAGGATGTTAGTGCGAAATTTTAATTTTTCTTAAAGAAATTAATTAGTCTATATGAAACAGTTAAATTGTTTAGCCACTCGCGCCCTGATATATTTTCTCTCTCTTCCTTTCTTTCCAATAATTTCTATCAGTACATTATAATTCTCCACATGCGAGAGCAATGTACTTAATTTTTCATACACTTTATGTATCTCGATCTGAGTTCGGTGTACAATTTAACTGTCTCATGCAGACTAATTAATTTCTTAAAAAAAAATTAAAATTTTGCACTAACATCCTGCGACGGCTCTTAATGCTCTTCTATAATATTATATTGTATTTGATAGTTATCATATGAGCCTTTCCATTATATATATTTTAAATCATAATTGTTTAATTATTTGAATATATTGTTTTGCTTATTAGATAATTTTGCTATCTTTGCAAATCTTGTTATCTCTTGCTATATACTTATTATATTTTTTAAATCATTAAATACAAATCTAGTGTCAGATTTGAAAAATCCAAAGATCCAATATGGCGATTGTAAAGTATTAAATGATTATGACTAAATATAATTTGAGTTACACCAAAATAGATTGTTAAAATTGCTAATCACAAATCTAATGATAAATTTAAAAAATTTAAATTAACAGATTCAATACATCTGTTGTCAAATAATAATATTATAATAATATTAATGATCTTATATATGAGATTAATATTAAAAACTAAGGATATAAGGAGCAATGCTAGGATATTTAAAAAGTATAATCACATGCTTATTTAAAAGGAAATATTCCAGAAAGATAAGAAAAATTTAAAGGGTTAAATATTTATCGTTATTGTGAGTGTTTTATCATTTAATCTTAAATTGGCTTTGTATCATAAGTTGTTAAACTTGTCTTGAGAAAAATTATAAACATAGATATTTAAAAAAAATGGTTCCAAAAAAATCTATGGTTCAAAAAATAGAGATGATCTTTATATAATTTTGCTATTTTTATTTAGGAGTTCCTGTTTCTAAAAATTTATTTATGAAAATTTATCTTCTTCGAAACCATGTAATGTAAAAAAAGATCAGTTTTGTATCTTGTTCAATTCTGAAGAAATTCAAGTGTATTAATAAAAATGAGAAACTTTATAAATATTTAGAACTAGAAAATATTAATATGTGATTTACCTTGCTGCAAAGCACGATTAAAAATTGCACGGTATCAAGTTGAGTGACTGCTAGATCAAACGTCAAAGTCTCGTTAAATTCAGGATGCGCGATAGCGCATAAGAATCTGGTCTTCTTTTTTTTTATTTTTTTACCCGTTTTTCCGTTCAACATTAATACTCTAACGTACGGATCTACAATAAATATTAAATTAAAAATTTCTTCTGTAAAGTGATATGTTGACGTTTCTTTCGATAATACTTACTAAATTTATTTAAACTTGACACCGCTGGCGTAAATTTAATGTCGCGTAACTTCATGATGTTAATAGTCAGTCTTTGTGCGGTGGGAAGATAGCTTATGGCTAACAAAATATTTCCAAACTCCTGAGAAATAAATGCCTGTTTATGCACATGTTTCACAAAAAAATAAAAATATCATTGCACTTGAAATTAGTTTTTGTCTTTAATTTTTCAACATTTATAAATTATAAAAGATTTTGATAGATTTTATTTATGTAAAAATTGAAAATGTTATAAAAATATCCGCATTCAATTAATGTGTTATTAATGAATTTAGAGATCATCAGTCATCATTAGCTATTTACGGTGGCAGAGAATATTAACGTATTAAAGAATGCATCAAGCATAAATTTAGATTAGAAGCAATTTTAATTAGAATCGATGTTATTTCAACAAATATCACGTTTCAAAAATTAGTTAATGTCTTAAAACATTATGTTAAAAAAAATTATGATAGCAAAATCTAACGCTTGAAGTTGATTGTGTTTGCGCTCTCACTCGCGTAGTCATGTCTCACTTGTGTTAGCAATATAAAAAAAAGGACACCAAGTACATGTGCTTTTCAAAACATTAATATACGTAAAATAATATTATTTTGAGACTAGTGCCAACTATAAATGAACAATTATACACAAAATTCAATTCCTCTATTTAATTAATTAATAAAAATAAAATATATTTAATAAAATATATTTAATATTTAATAGAAAAACCTTGGTGTTTTATTAGACCTTAAAATATTCTGGAATACAATAAAGATGGGTAAAAATTATTTTAATTTAATGTTACATAATTGTGTAACACTACTAATAACTTAATAGTATATATCAATTATATAATATTTAATTGTAATAATAAATAACTAATACAAAAGATAGAAAATAGAACTTGGAAAAAATGTTCAGATTAGAATGTTTAGTCATTTTACATAATGGTTTACTAGATCAAACAAAAAAAGCTGAAAAATGTAAATTTTTATTATCTTATATCATCTTTACTTGAACCTAAAATATTGTTACCAGTAAAAATTAATACCAGTAAAAAAGGAGATAAAACCATTCGATAGAGCGCAGTTTCAGCTTTTAAATAATATTTGGTAGAAAACTATACGATAATTAATTACAAAATTATAAGCGTTTAAAGTAAAGGAGATTATTTTTCCTTTAACTCTCCATAACTTGATAACGAAAAATCGAACAGCAATCATCGATCATTTAAATTAAAGAAAAAAAACTGAGTTTTTGAATACAGGTAATGAAACTTTTTTCAGAGTTTTTTGAGCCGTGCATGCTCGCAAAATTAAGCGAAAAATTTCCATTTTTAGGGTTTTTCTTTTTTTGTAAATTACAATAAAATAAAAAAAAGATAATTAAAAGCAGCAAAATATATTTAAAAGTAGAGATTTCAAACTTTGAAATGTTTTGTTCAAACATTTTGAAAGTTGATCAGATACATATTTAAAAAATTACCTCAAGAGATCTTTTAATTATTTTGGGAATTATAATACGACATATGCAATAATTTTATATTGGTAAAGCAATATTTGTAAGCAATACATGTGTGTCATTATTATATTTTGGATTTCCCGAGTAGACAATAGAGGCGTAAATCTGACTGTGCAACCTCCATGCAGTACACCTTGGGTAATGCTAATGTCAATGGTATTATAAACTTCAAAGCCTTATAACTCGAAAAGTGCTTAATAAAAAAATACTTTATCACAGTGCTTTGAAAAGCTCTCGAGGTAAGCTACAAAGCAATAAAAAATAGGAGTTCTCATTTCAGAAATTGAAGGTGACCTTCACATCATGATCTTTAAACAACTATTCAAGGACAAACCAATGGCACCATCTTATGTCCCCCTCGAAGTCATAAAACTTTTGTATGAACTATTTTTTTCTAAAATCCTGTAATTTCCAAATATTTGACTGTTTAAAATAAAATGGGTAAAAAGATTAATTATTGTTTTTTTGTTATTTGAAGGAATTGTTTCAATGTCCATTGATATTATTTTTTTTTAATAGTGAAAATTTTCATTATGATCATGATTTTGAAACAATTCCCAAATAAATAAACCAGAGATGAGCTAATGCACAGATATGTGTACTATAACTAAATCGCTAACTTTCATTGATCTTGGTACATAAAATTGGTACTCGAAAATCATGTAATAATATGGTGGTTCCGCATACGAAATATTAGTAAGAAAGTAATATGGCGGATATCAGTGCCGATACCTAACCTAGCCGATATGTACACGTATAAACATCGTTTATAGTGGTTCATACAATGCTTACAACTTGTAACATTAAAGGGTGTAAGAGTTTATATATTATAACTTTTTACGACAAATATTGCGAAGAATCGATTTATATAAAAAAATTAGAGTAGTTTTATTTAAAAAAAATGAAGATGACCTTCAAATCTTCGAAGCGCTTCCACCCAAAATGAAACTAATATTTTTATCTTTTTTCCCCCTCCAACCCCTGCAACTTTTATTTGAAACATTTTTTTATTTAACGCGGTGTTTCTGAGATATTTGAGTGGATTATTTAACCTTGGGACACCTTGTATATCATATATAATATCAACCAATCAAAACGTGACTGTTGTCCTACCAACGTTACGCATGCGCGAAAATTTAGTACATAGATTTTAGGGTCATGATTTGACACGAGTAGCGATCTAGCATATAAGGTGTCCAAAAAGTGCCAGAACCTCTTAATATTTCGGAAACTAAGCACTTTCAAAAGAAATGTTCCATACAAAAGTTGTAAGGTTTTAAGTAGCGCATTAGACAGAAATATCACTGTGACTTTGGCTAGCGCTATTAAGGTAATATGCCACTGCAACATTTTTGTATGGAACATTTCTGTCACTTGTTGTAATAAATGAGATAACCAGTGCTCAAAATCAGGTAGAAATATAGAAATATATTTGTGTGTATAAGGGTGCCGTCACATACAGCCCGTAATCCGTAATCTGCACTAGAAGTCCGCAAAAGTTACTAGGTACTTTGTCCGTAACGTTACGTGTGTTTTTATCTCCTTGTGTCCCATAGAACCGTAAATACAGACGTAACGGTAGTACTATTTTTTATTTAACAGATTATAATTGTTTATTTGTATATTATTCATAAGAAAACTGCAGAATATATTATGTTTTTAACAAAAGTTTTAATTAAATCGTCAAATTTAGTTAATTAAATAAAATTAGAATAAGCATTACTAGTAATAACTAGTAACTTGTAGTAACTTTTACGGAAATTTCATGGAATTACGGCTTCATGGGACACAAGGGGATAAAAACACACGTAACGTTACGGACAAAATACCTAGTAACTTTTGCGGACTTCCGGTGCGGATTACGGATTACGGGTTGTATGTGACGGCACCCTAACATACATACAGCGCGACTAGCGAAACGTAAACAAGAACATAAACTAATTAAGCTCTAAAGAAAGTAATGCGCTTATAACGCCTACTGCCTAATGCTATCTATAGCACGTGAGGACTCAACTCCTAACACTCCCACTGAAGCCTCGAGTGCATAGCCAAAAGTAATTTCAAATTATTGAATTGAGACTTTGACAAAGCTTTGGTTAAAATATCTGCTAGTTGAGTTTCTGTCGGACAGTACTTAACAGAAATTTTCTTTAAATCAACCACTTTTCGAATGTATTTATATTTAATGTCCACATGTTAGGTTCGTTGATGAAACGCATCATTGGCACTCAGTTGGATTGCTGCTTGATTGTCTAGATTTAGTTCGGTAGGTTCTGTTGTTTCTTCTTCCACTCCGTAGAATGTTGCTAACATTAGCCTCAACCATTCAGCTTCTTGAGATGCCTGTGAACCAGCTACCAGTTCTGCCTCTGCAGTCGACAGTGTGACAATCTTTTGTCGACGAGATGCCCATGCCACCGGAGCTCCGTGCATCAGTGCCACATAACCGGAAGTAGAGCGACGCTCATCCTCATCTCCCGCAAAATCTGCATCCGAGTAACATGTGCATCCGCGTTCTGTCACCTCGTTGTTATATGAGATTCCTTCGTATCTTGTTTCCTTTAAATATCAAAGGACTCGTTTGGCAGCATTCCAGTGTCCTGGTCTGGGATTTTGTAAATAATGACTTAGTAAATTAACACTGAAAGCAATATCAAATCGTGTAATATTGGCCAGGAATTGTAGTGATTCTATCAATTCACTGAATGGAACTTTTGACATGGACATCCTCTCTGCATCGTTTAATGGACTCATATGTTTTGTCAGTTTTACATTTGGATCAACTGGAATGGAGACGACCTTTGCTTCTTCCATCTTGAATTTTTCAATTAACTTCTTGATGTATGTGGCCTGATGAATCTTGATTATTCCGTGTTGTTCATCTCGATTAATTTCGATTCCTACAAAGTAGCTTGGCTTGCATATTTTGATTTCAAATTCTTTACTTAGTTGTGTAAGAATTTATGCAGTATTTCCGACGATTTACAAAGTAATAGACCATCGTCTACATACAGGGCCAAATATAACTTTTCCGTACTGATCACGCCGATATATATGCAGTCATCACCTTCTGATCTTAGCATGTTGTACTTCATCAGGACTTCATTAAATTTTTTATTCCAACAATGTGGAGATTGTTTCAATGTATAAAGATTTATGAAGTTTTACGACACGTTCGTCTTCTGACCAGGGTTCTTCGGGTAGTTGAATCCAGATGTCTTCTTCTAGAATGCCATAGAGAAAGGCAGTTGTAACGTCGAATTGTAGCATGTCCAGTTTTTCTGCAGCAGCCATAGCTAGAAGCATACGAATACTTTTGTAGCGCACTACCGGTGCGTAAATGTCCATATAATTGAGTCCATGTAGTTGCATGAATCCTCTTGCCACCAGCCTAGCTTTATGTCGATTTGGTTCGCCTGGTGTTACCTTCTTTTTGAATATCCATTTACAGGGGATAGCTTTCTTGTTCTCAGGTTTCGGTTAGCCAAGTTCTATTTTTCTTGTGAGCCGAAAGCTCTTGTCGTATTGCAATCTTCCACTGTTTGGCTTTTGAACTATTTAATGCCTCTTCAAAATTCG